ACACTGAGGGTTGCGATCCGTTGCCGGACACGAAAAAAGACAAAAAGGAAAAAAAAAATGACCAATAAGAATAATGGAATCATTAACAGCTAAAGGGGGAAATGAGGAAGAGAAGTGGTTTGGCTGAAGTGAGGGAAAGAGGGGATGTCGGTGTACGACTGCTACAAGAGATGGTATTTAAATATATTTTACCTCAAGATATAGATGAAAATTTAGACCTCAAGTTTAGACAGCTATATAGATTTGGGGCCTAAAAAGGGGTGGCAGTTAAAGCATTGCAATGATTGAGTTTTCAGAGAAAGAGAAGGTAACAGAAGAACATTTAGACAACTGCATTCTGCAGATACTATACTTTGAAGATAAACTAACTTTCCAGATGAATAGTACCTTATTCTACAGATATAAAGTGTTTGTACTAATTTATTCTAATGAAAAACTTAAAAATTCATGTTTCTTTCTTTTCCAGGCTATGAACTGGCAGAAAGAAACTCAAGACAAAAATAGTTTCATAATTGCCACTTGCACAAAATCAAATCTCTGACCTAAAACACACTGCTTTTTAAGTTTCTCTATTTATAACAAAAGTTTTGAAAAAAATTGGGAGAAAAATCAGGCACACCAATACTACCACTGTTTTATAACATCTGTGAGAATTTAACATTTTTAAAATGCACATTAACTAAAATGTTGACAATTAATGAGTCTGGGGAATGGGTACATGGAGGTTCATTATACTCTTCTCTCCAGTTCTGTGTGTGTGTGAAACATTCATAATAAAAAGTCTAAAGAGGGATGGCTACAGATATTTTTTAAATTCTATCTTCAGTAAAGACTGACAACACAAAATTCTAGCAGATAAATACTTCTCAAATAATGATTTCTTCATTCTCAATAGACCAATGAAATTTAATGTGTATAAAAGGGAGAAAAGCCTAGTCTGTTGTTTCAGAGGAACATAAACATGTTCATTAAATGGAAAAAGTTAGTCCTTTCATCCACGTTGATTGAGATTAGACCTGTCACTTTTCTGTCCAATGAACTTACATTTTTGTTGAAAAATATATAGGCCATATACATGTTTGATTTTGATTAGTAAAGGCAAAATAAATGTTTATCTCAAATATCAATGATTAATCTGTTGAAGTATATGGTTAGCCCTCCAGTTACTTCAAACATCTCCCACTCTAGTAAATAACCAAATAAAGAACTTTCTGATGTGGATGCAAAAAAGACAGATTTTAAAAAATGAACCAATATCCATAATTATAACTAATCCTAAATTGTAAAAACAGCATATTTAAAATTACATAAAGTAGGGCTGGCCCGGTGGCGCACTGGAGAGTGTGCCGCTTGGGAGCACGGCGGTGCTCCCGCCGTGGGTTCGGATCCCATGTGGAAACCGGTTCCCGCTCACTGGCTGAGCGCGGTGCAGGCGCAACACCGAGGGTTGTGATCCCGTTACCGGTCAGTAAAAAAAGACAAAAAGGAAAAAATAAATAAATAAATAAATAAAATAAAAATAGGCCCATTAAATGCATTAAGAAATATATTTCTAATATAATTGGACTATGTTTAATAATTATTTACCAAAATGTATATTTTCATTATCTTCATAAGTTTTGCTTTGTTTTTTTGTAATAACTGTGGCTTTTGTATCATTTTCTGCGCAACACCGAGGGTTGTCCCATGTGGAAACCGGTTCCCGCTCACTGGCTGAGCGCGGTGCAGGCGCAACACCGAGGGTTGTGATCCCGTTACCGGTCAGTAAAAAAAGACAAAAAGGAAAAAATAAATAAATAAATAAATAAAATAAAATAAAATTACATAAAGTAGTAAATAGAGGGGAAAAGTTAAATATTTTTTTAACAATTATCATTGTTTATGCTATGATTTAAACAGATTTAATTTAAATCAAATCACACTACTGAGGCTATGAGAATGCTTAAGTTAGTAGACAGCAGCAGCAGATTAACCACTTAGATTTACCACTTACTGACGATCAAGAATAGTTTACAAGATTTAGATGCATTAAACTTTTCTTCCTATGATAAAGAGCACTACCCAAAATGAAAAACAGATTTGTTTGCCTCCTCTTCTTTCTTTGGTAAATTCCACAACAATAAAGACTATATATACATGTCTGTGTGAAACATAGCACACTATAGGTGTGCAACTCTTTTAACAGGAATAATCACCACCCTCAATTCCCAGAAAGCAGTGCTAGGTATCAGTCTCATTCCCTAGGTGACATGCATAAGATAACAAAATAAAGCAGGGTTTCCTTGCTAGTGGTTCTACCTTGAATCATTTTCAGGATCCTATTTCTTCTAACAGAAACATGTTGTAATGAAACCTCAGTGAAAAGCTAAAAAAACCAAAATCAAAATATACATTCTTTTCCAATCTAAGAATAAACAGAAAATTGAAGATTTAATTAGTTGCCTAATCTAATATTTTAAGTTTTTCATGTTAAACTGATTAAAATGATGTTTTTAAAAGGAAAATCACCCCAAATTCCCATAACAAAAAAAATTAAAGATTCAGAAACATACTTGTTTTGTAAATGTTGCAAGACTACATAATATATAAGCTTATTGTTTTAAAGAAATAAAACAATTTATAAAGACCATCCTTGATTTTTTAAAAAAATCTCAAGCAGTCACAACTATTGACTAAAGAGTTCATCTTTCAGTGGTGAACTCTTATTAGCTATTAGCTAACTCTAGCTAGGTAAATAAGCAAAATGACCATTCAATGAAACACTGGCAAATTAGCATAATTAAATCAAAATTTGTAACTTTGTTCTTAAGAAGTTAAACTTATATCTCTGAAGTATAAATCATACCTAATTCGAATATCAAACAAGACACATTTAAAGAAAAAACTGAGTAAACGAAAGTGCTTCTCACAAATGAGTGTTATTTTAATAACCCTCATTTTAAAAATATATTTAAAAAATACATTATTTCTATGGAATCCCTGAATTGGTCAGGGCCATAACTGTAGACTGCTAAGCGGAGGTCAGTTGGGAGAGAGGTAATGGTAAGTGAAAGCATGACAGAGTAAAAATTTCCCACCAGAATAAGAATTTATTCAAGTCGTTCCTTGAATTTTGATTCAAATACCAAGAGAAGCCGCTACTATCATTCCCTAAAGTAAAAGAGGGGGACAGAACTCCCAAAGACTATTAAAAAATACTTAATCACAATTTGCCTTAAGTTTTCCCTTGTTTCCCCATCTAACAAAATGGGAGGACAATGAAAATAAGCAGCCCCGTCTAGCCCCTCAGAGAGGCAAAGAAAGCGACCATTCAATGCCAAGTCTTACTCCACTGGAAACATACTCCTGAAAAGTAAATCCAAAACCACGAGCTGAAACTGCTCCATGCAGAATTCACTGAATGGCGGCCAAGCTCTGTACACACTGTCCTGAGCTACGCTGAAGGCTATCTAGAGTTCTGCGTTCTCGGCTTACAACTTGTACCTCACCATGCTTTCGCCACCACTGCAGAAACCGATGCTTTAAATGCGACTGAAACGTTCCTCCTGGCTTGTTAATCGGAAAAAGGCAATCTAACGCCTTGATCCTCACATTACTTTTTAGCAATACTGGTTTTTGACTCATATACTGTCGCCGACACACCTTTTCAGACGCAAAGCGATAGTTAGAAGGTCCCAGGACTGAACTGAGTGAGGAACAACTTTTAACTGGCTTTCCTCTGGCTCTATAATACAGATCACCTGTTAGAACGGCGCTGCACGGACACCTTCAACAAGTGGCCGAGAGCGGCGATGCTGTTCCCAGTCATTCGTCCCAGGGCGGCAGGTGAAGGCGGTGAACGCCCATCCACACCCACCGGGCGGCCACCCCCGAGCGCGGCAGGCAGCGGCGGGGCGCTCCGTTATCCTCACCCTCCTCGGGCCCCGCCAGGTGAAGTTTCGCTCGCGCCCGCGACTGTGGCTGCTCAGACGCCGCCCGTGTCTCCGAGGGTCCTGCCGCCTGCTCGGGGCGGCCGCGGTCACGGGCCCGCCGGGCCTCGGGCGAGTCGGCGACTGCCGACGAGAGCCAGAGCGGGACCTGTCACCCGGGCGGGAAACAAAAGCCGAGTGAGGACGAGCGGGCACGACCGGCCTTGCCTCCGCGAGGGGGAGCGTGGCGGGGGCGGGAGCGTCTCCCGCGTCCGCCGGCTCCGCGCTCTGGGGTGGAGGCCTCCCGCGCGCTCACCTCGAGGCTTCCCTGGCCCCGCTAGCCCAGACGCGCCGCTCCCGAGCTAGGGAGTCGCGTGAGGGGACGGAGAGGCGTCGCGGACGCGGGGTGACCGGGAAGGAGGGAATTGGGCTCCCGCGGCGCCGCGGCCGCCCGCCCCATCCCC